TACTATCAAGTTGGTATTTCGGTTTTGATTTTCACTTTATCCATATTGTAAAACAGTTACTATTCCGGCATTATCTTCTATTTTGCGTCAAGACCTATTTTTACAGGCTCATGAGGCCCTTAGGCCGTATGCTTTTGTCTCATTGACTTAGAACAAGTTCGGTCTAGGTAGGTATGTTTGATGGTTACTACTTACCTTATTCAGGCTCGTTCTTATCTCCTATTACGTTCGTCAGTGTTGAAGGGCAGGTGCAGTTGGCTTACATCTGCCTGCCAGTGCTGAACTCCCTTCACCCTCAAGTACTTAAGCTGCCTTCCAGGTTAGGTATGGAGTGAGGAGCAGTTTACCTGCCGAGGGGTTGTCCTTTATATTTCTCTCACAACTCTCATTTGCCTCCTTGAAATGCAACAAACCATCATCTTCCACACGAGAAGCTCGACCTATCTCAATGAGATCCAATATGACGAACGTCGCGCCACAATGGCTACCGTGAGTTTTTGCTACATTCATCTTGCTCTTCTGTCTGCGGTCGTGAGTATCTCACTGGACTTTTCCTCGTCAACGAAAGTCATCTCTTTCTCCTCCCCTTCCCCTCCACCATCCCCACGACGTCCTTAGCCCAAGAGTACTGACACACTATATAGGATCCTCTGGACAAGGGGGGAGCAACCAGTGGGGTGGGGGGGAGGCCAAGGTTCAACTACGAGCTTTTTAACCACAACGACTTGGACACCAGAGGAGGCGAGGCCCTCTCCCAAGGCCAAGCGACTCTTTTGTTCTGTTTGCCGCAAAGCCAACCACACAGCCGATGCCTGTTTGTCGCTCCGTAAATAGTTATCCATTTATGCGGAATTATGCAATCACTAACTACCAGCAGCGGGCAATATCATGATCATTTCCGGTGGCTCTTCTGTCACTCCCCCTGGGACCATTGTCCGAATCGTAAGTTTTCACCAATATCAAGTCTAAACTGTGACTAACTCTTGATGATGTTAGGGAGAAGGTCAGCAACCAAAGAGTCTCTAAAAAAAACTAAAAAAGAAGAAGGACGAAAGCACCTAACTCCAGAAGAAGGTGGAGGAAATGGCCCTCGATGAAAAGGACTAGTCTAAATCTCGTCTAACACACGTCGGTCTGCGGATTTTTCCTCCGGGATCATGTAAAAAAGCAAAAACGAAAAGAAAACGAAGAATAACAATAAAACACCAGAGAAGAAGGTCGAAAGCATGCAGCCACAATAAATTTAGAGTATATTTCCTAAGTTTAGGATAAATTCGGGGTATTGAGTGCCTAAATCTACAAAACCATGAGAAAGATTATCAAAACCTAGGGTGGATGGACTAAGTGTAGAGTCACAGGGTGTAAGATTTGAGGTGTCAGCTGCGCCTATCATCGTTGCCGTCCATTTCCCCCAATCAGCCGCAATATATGTTTGCTACCCGTTTCAAACAACGGCCGATGCCTGACGAAGCGGCCCCTGATCTCCCTCCGAGGGTGATGTCCCAGGAGTGAGACGTCAACCTTTTTATATCTAACATCGTACTTGACCCACCGCTCGAGGCCAGGCACACGTACTCCCAGAGTCGGCAGCGCAAGAAGTGTCAGTATCGTACTGATATGCTGAGAATATGGATCCCGCTTGCGTTCGACACCGTAGATAGCGGGGAGTGTGTATCGAATCTTTCCTGGCGCATAGTGCTTGAGCAACTTCTCCAGTCGAGCCTTTCGTAGAGGAGGCAGCGCCTTGCGGAATGCTTTGGCGAACTCTGCACGATAAGGGTGGACCTGCCACATAGGCCATCTGTTACGTCCAATGCGTATCCAGAAACGGCCATCGAACAGCTTGCATCTCGCCCATCCCTTGTGACTGAAAGCCTCCGGGGAATCCGTGAACTCCTCCTCTGTGTTTAGAGGGGGTGACAAGTATGACGGAGGCAAGTATAGCTTTGCAACCGGAAGGGGTTGGGTTGATGTATAGGGGGCTCTGGAGAGTAGCCATTTGATCGATGTTCCTCTGACTATCGGATCGAAATACACACCAGCGGCGGTGAATGCTTTGGGTATCGTATTGGCATCAGGAGCCATGCCAGGGACCAAAGTATTGACAACTTTTTCGAGATTTGAAAGGGGCGGGAGATGGTACTCAGGGGTGACAAAATCAATAAGCTTGCGGATTGCGATGGTCATGACAACTCTCCGATGATCCTTGCGTAGTTCGTTATTAGGATGTAAAGAGCGTCTTTTGAATCGTTTGTTGAAGCTGCGCAGCTTTGGAAACTCTACCAGCAAAGTTCCCACATTTGGATCAAAACTTTTGATAACGGCCTCCCGAATAAGATAACGGCTGGCTTCTGCTTCTTCAAGCTTAGTTCTCTCTTTTGATCTCTTAGCTAGAGAGAGGATAGAAGGCTTTTGCAAGGTTTTTGGTAAGGCATGGTTTCGAACCAGATGTCTGATGGCGTTTCGAGTCGTTAATGTAGGGTCCTTGTTAGTCGCATCTTCTACCCAAGGGATCTTATTCGCTTCGCAGGTAGCAATCAGTCTATCCTTGTCAAATTCCATAAGAGGCCGATATATCATGACACCGCCATCCTCAACTTCCAAGGGCTTCAGGAATGGAACGTCGGAGACTTCACGGACCTCTTCCGATCCCGGGTACGATTGAACGAGATCTTGAGGGAGATCTTCCAAGAGATTGGCCTTTTCAAGGGTCAACTCGTCACGAATTCTACGTCGTAGACGTTTCAATTCTTTCAGAGCTGGTCGGAAGCTGAGTGCAGGGGTTGATCTGAGCTGGTCGTCGAGAAGACCACTCTTGTAGACACCATGTAAATCGTAGCATTCGGGTATCGAATTAGCCTCTCTTATCCCTTGCAGACCTCGGTATCCATGCCCTCCGAGTAGTCGCATGAGGACTGTCTCATACTGGTCATCACTGTGGTGCGCAAAGAAAAGACTGTTGGAACCATGATAGCTGCAGTACCGGCCTAGTGCGCGATACCGGTAAGTACGAGCGAGGCCCTCGACATTGGGGAGTTGACGAGGGTCAAGACCTTGACGTTTCTCGTCTCTCCACGAGAGAGTAGAAACACTGGCCTTGATATCAAGTTTTCGCAACTCCTTGGTAACCTCTGACGCTTCATGGTCGCTTCCGTCACGTAGTTTGTGGTCGACAACGAGAGCTAGAACGCCATGGACTGGGTTGTCTGCGACTTTCATGCCGCGGAATGAGCGGACAGCTTTGGTCATGAGAAATGCGAGAGCCATTGAATCTACGCCCCCACTGATAGCCAGTACTAGAGGAGAGTTAGTCACATAAAAGAATGCAAAGCATTGGGCCAGTTACCTATACGCTGTGGTCTCGCAAAGCGAGCGGTTGGGTACCGAGGACGGCAAACAGCGTCGACGGCATCTTTGAACTCGCTGATTTGAATTGGCCGCGGGGCATGATGAAATACACGAAAGGCCGTAGTCATTCCATTATATTTCTAGCGAGCCTGGAGCACAATTGGCGGACCAGGTCTGAAGCTGAAGTTGTTGCTGATGCGAGCGTAGAGAAAGGAAAAAGTGGTGATGCCGGGTTTCAATTGAAGCTTGGGTGGGTCTGATAGTTTGAATTCCGTCCAAGCTACCTACCTTGGTGGGGCCGAGCGGGTGTTTGTATCACGACGGCACGGACGGGAGCCTCTACGAGATGTACTTGATAACTCAAGAGTAAATGATTGAGATTCTTGAAATAAGGGCCTTGATCTTATATATGGAAATATCTCGGCAAGCTTAATATAGCTCCACGTAACTGAGGCAAACTTGGGTAAGTCGAGAGTATCCTGTGATATCTTAGATATGCCTACTCCGTAGACGACTTTAAGATGAACGTAGTAACGGGACTAACTTATCTGCTGAGAACAGTACAGAGTGCATTGATAATTGAGACAAAGAAGTTCATTACCCAGTAACAAGACCAAAGCACTCCATTAATCTTGGCACCCCCATGTTGACAACAACTACCTTAGGCATATGTATGTATGTACTGTCTCGCTAAGAAACACCGTGAACCAATCTAGAGTGATCGATCAGTGTCGCTCAAGGCAGTGATCGACCATAGAATCACAAGCTTCTATGTTAGAGACAGCGCCGTTCACCCTGTACAACGGTCAACTGCGTTAGTGCACTATAAACCAGCCACAGGTACCTATAGTTAGAAACAAAACACGACACAAGAATTAAGCTTTTGGTAGGTAAATAAACAACAATCGTCATATTGGAACCCATCAGTCACAGTCTGTCACAGGCTATCACAGTCTGCCAGTTAGTATCTCCTCAGTACAGGCCTCCAATAACGTAGCAGTCAGTGACAGGTTCGTCGTGTCCCGACAAAGACTCTCACTAAACCATGCGGGTAATAACTAAAGAGAAGAGACCCTCATCAACCCCTGTCACCGTCTCAAATGATTCGCCTCCAAGGCATAAAAGGGCCCCTAACGAGAAAGGAGCAGAGACAGCCTTGCCAGTTTGAGTGGAGTGGGAAATGCATGTTTTGGATCATGGCCCATTACCTTGAATTCTCTGGTTGTAGCGGCCTCTTGTTGTCCTCGTGCCACCATCACAGGTTATCCTTGTCTTTACTGTACCTACATACATACAAACAGGCCTAAGTCTGTACATCCATTACACACACAGTCACGTAGGTATTGCCCTGTCTCGTCTTGTTTATTTTTACTGCTTCCTCTCAACTTTTACCCTCAACTCAACCTCTTATCTCCCACTGTCGCGTTATAACTGTTTCTCGGCCAAATATTGTCTCGTCGCTCCGCAACAAACCAAAACATCCCGCCCCATGTGATTCACAATTTACTTGCATCTTTCATCACCTATACCAGCCTCATTGTTAGCTCTTCATCTACCTTCGCTCCGCCACAGCCGCATTCCCGAGCCTCACACACCCCCTGCGCGGCTCTTAATCATCACCTTCGCAATCTTTCAATATTGAAAAAGCCCTCATGGTGTCCACGCTGGAGCCTCCAACCGCCTCCTCCGTCTCCCGCCGCGGTCCCTCCTCTGTCGTCTCCCGTCGATCTCAATCAGATTCGCGATCGAAACGCTACAATCGTTCTCATACCGGCGGGACCTCTCACGCTCTTCACAATGACTTCCCGGTGTTTAGCAGTGGCGATGTAGAAATCATAGTCCGCGCGCGCGATACGCCTCCCGATGCTGCTCCCGTGCAGAACAGATATCTTCTCCATCGCCATACACTCACGCGCTCGAGTGGTTTCTTTGAGACCAGCACATCAAGCCAGTGGTCCCGCGCTCGCGCACTACCGGCTGGCAATGAGCTCTCCCGCATCGGAGAGGACGGGGAACCGGATTCTGTCAGTGCAAGCGAAGTCAGCTCAGTGTCGCAAAGAGGAAGCATCCATCCACCCAGGAAGAGATGGCGATACGAGCTGGACCCCAAGTCTGGACCAAACGATATCCCAATGCTGGTCCAACGAGACGAATCGTCGCGAGATACTACACAATCCTTGTTTGGTCCTGCATCAGCCCCCCCTGCAGTCAGTGCAAGAGACGCACGCTCTCAGAGTCGCTCTAAACACTCCCACTCACATTCGCGATCGCTGTCCAATTCGTCGGCCTCAAGTGGTTTCTTTCGCTCCGTCGCCAACCTCAGTCTCTCATCCAACCACCCACCTCCAGCCCAAGAGCTATCGCAAGCGGACGAGGACCTTTTGCGCGACTACGACAACCTCTTTCGCATCTTTTACAATTACCCGCCCAACCTCGATGGTGTCAATGTCGCAGATGCCTATGTCCAATGCAAGAGCTTGCTCAACCTCGCCGACCAATATGACGCCCTTGCTGTGGTGGGACCTCGAGTTGATCACCACATGCTGCAGTTCCAGTCACGGCTCTGGAAGCAAATCGCCAAATACCCAATCTCATATCTCCGCCTCGGGTACCTAGCTCGCAGCAGGGTGATATTTCAGGAAGCCCTGATTCACGTCGTTGGGCAGTGGCCGGTCGGGGAACGCAGCCTGCGTGCAGCCCTGCCCGACATTGTCTTGGATATTATTGAGGACAAGGTTGACGAACTGGAAGATACGGTCGGTCGCATCGAGGGACGTCTGTACCGTCTTGGGCTCACCAACAGCCGTGGTGAACGTGTCGGCCCAAGCAACAACTACCTCGACTGGCTGTCCGTAAGCCTCTTCCGCCAATGGCTGGCCGACAACACCTCTCCGCAGCCGCCTCCCGATCAGCGACGCAGGACGACCTCTCGTGACGGCGGCCGCAGCGTCGCCGCCTTACCCCCCGCAGCCCCGCCGTTGAATTCTGTAGGTCGTGCATATCGCCAACTCGGTTCGAATAATCCCGCATCTTTCCTCGGCCACGATGACTGCAAGCGCTTCCTCAAGCTCACCCCTGAGCTCTACAGCCGGGAGAACCTTCGGCGATTTGAGAAGCGTCTTGATGAGCTCAAATCAATGGCACGAGAGATCGTACGGCCCCTCATGGGCAGCAATCTCGAACTCGATATGGGTGGTACCTCGCGCACCCCCGATAGTGTCTCTTACCTCACCTGCATCAACGTTGGGAACCGAGACCTGCCTTGGGTAATGGAGGATCAGACAACGGTCGGGCTCGTCACCAACTGATGTGGGTGGGTGAGTGCGTTATCAGCCCGGGATTGGGATGAAAGCGGTGGTGGTTGCGTTGATGCAATGCAACGATTTTTATGACCTGATGTTTCTACTTTTTTGGATTCTTGCGGATACCCCATGCTTGGACATACTGTTGAAATTCCCCTTTTGTTTGTCTTATGTATATTCACTGCTGTCTGGAACGATTTAACTAAATGATATCTCACTGGTATATTCTATATAGACACGGAACAGCCAGACGCTGGTTGGCCTGAGGACAGTCGATATGACTCGGATGGAGCTGAGCTCTGTAATCAAATTGATAAGTGTTTGATGTATTCTGCAGCCCTTCTGTGGTTGTATGTGCACTTCTGTGTGAACTGCAAGGCCTGAACTGAATGGTACCATCCCTCGAGACTGCTCTAGCAGTGGTGTTATGAATTCTGACCACAAAGCTCAACATGTTTGTCTCAAAATATTAACATTAAGCCATTATAAAAGCCATCCCAAGTTGGTTATACTGAACTTATCCGGGTCTGCGTGCTTGTTAGATTTCATAAGAGTCATGCCGCATCGTTTCCTTCCCAGCTCAATGTTCAAAGTAAACAGTCCAGCAGATTACAACAGCGCGTGTAGACAGTGGTATTTTAAATGACATATTCTTATTAATTAGGGTATTACGTGAAGAGATGTTTGCGTGACCATCTCGTATCACGGTATACTAGTGGTATCTATCCAAAACGACATTTTTGCAAACCCGCTAGACCACCATCATCCAACGAGCCCAAGTCATGAAACGCCCTTTTCCAAGCGTGACCCGAAAACTCCATCAGACGTTGCTAGTTATTAAATACGCAAAGATATGTGAAAATGGTTATGAGACTTAAGCGCTCTCCTTGTTGGCTCCGCTGGCCACACTGTCACGGCGAGCGACGACAGCAGCCAGGGCGGTATCGTTGTCATTCTCCTTCTCGTCTTCCTCTGCAGAAGAGCCAGAGGCAGGGGCAGCAGGAGCGGTAGGAGCATACTTGCTTCTCTGACGAATCTTGGCACCGTAACGGTAGAAGATGAAAGGGATCGGTGCGAGTACAACGGCGACACAGCCAAGAAGGGTAGAAGCGTACTGAATACCCATGCCGTCAAACATTTGACGGGCGAACAGAGGGAAACCAGCACCGCAGAGAGATCGAAGGAATGTGTTACCGGCAATGGCAGAGGCGGCGAACATGAGGTAGGCATCGACGAGGTAGTTGAGGGCCTGGAGGAAGATGGACATGAGACCGAATCCAGTGAAGAGACCGCTGAGAGTGGGAACGATCCAGTGAATGTCCTTGGTGTATCCAGTCCTAGAAGACGTTAGTATTCTGTCAACTGCTGAGTTTGCGAGTAACTTACCATCCAAACCAGAAGATGCCGATGGCAAAAGCAACACCGCCGGCCATGATGTTAGGCAGACGCCATTCGGGAACAGGAATGCCATTGTTGGCAGCAAGCTTGCGAATGTACCAAGGCTGTTGAGCAATGACTGTAGCACCAGCGATAAGCTGACCTACAATCATACCGAAGAAGCAAAGACCGGATTGACCAGAGCTGAAGCCGTGGACGCCAACAAAAACAAGAGGGTAGGCAGTAAGGAAGAGATAGAGGAGCCCATAGATGAAACTCATGTAGATGGAAAGCAGAAGAATAATGGGCTCGGTAAAGAGCAGACGCAGAGGTCGAGAAAAGTTCTTCTGGACGAGCTCCTTGAAGTCAACCTCGATTTCTTCTTGCTTGGCATGGATACCCCAGTTCTTAGTGCGACGTCGCAGATCAGCTGCCTTGGCGATGAGAATAACAGGCGGGTAAGTCTCCTCCAAGAAGATGATGTCGAGAATGAGAGCAGTGAAACCCATGATAGAAGCAAGATACTCGGTCCAGCGCCATCCAAGGTGAGACTCAACAATGAAACCACCGATGAAGGGAGCCAGAAGAGGACCAGTAAAGACGGACATGGAGAAGAGAGTAATAGCAGTTCCTCGAGTACGGTTGTCAAACATGTCGGAAAAGACAGCAGCAACGACTGCTAGAGGACAAGCACCGAAGAAACCACTGAAGAACCGGCAGAGAAGAATAGTCTGGATATCCTTGCCAGTTGCGCAACCAATGGAGAAGACAGAGAAACCAAAGATGGAGATGAGAATTGGAAGACGACGACCGCGCAATTCAGACAGAGGAGCCCAAAGCGAGGGACCAAAGGCAAAACCAAGCACGTAAAAGGTCGTCCCCAAAAGACCGACCTCGTTGCCAACGTGGTACTCATGAGCAACAACCATAGTCGCAGCAGAGAAGATAGAGGATGTGAAGGCAGATGTCATAGTGGTGAACCCCAGGACAGCAGCCGTGATAAGCTTCTTCCTCAATGGCCAATTCTGCGAATGCATAGGATCATTGGGACCATCGAATTCAACAACATACTGCTCCTGTTCCGGTAGAGGAGGAGGATACGGCTTTCCAGCGCCAAAGTTGGGGAGGGGCTTTCTTGAAGCTCGCGACGCTGTGCGGGAACGAAGACTGCCTCCGACGGTGGCATTGTGTTGACTTCGAGCTGTTTGTATTCTGCTGAGTTCCGTAGGATGACGCTCCAGGTCGTTCTGGGTCGAGATACGGCTGATGCTGTTGTATTGGCCAATTGAGCGGCTTCGTCGACGTGCTGAGTTCTCGGAAGAGGATGAGGAGACGGTTGATGCGGAGATGACTCGTTCTATTTCAGCACTGTCGCGCTGTTGGTATCGCTGAGGAGAGGCAGCGCGTTCAGCGTCTAGCAGCTCCTGATCCACGATATTCCCCGCCATCTTGACTGTGTATTTTCGTCTTCAGTTCAGCTGAACAAGGAAGTCAACTGTCGAGAAAACTGGAATTGGTGAGTCTAGAGAGGCGTGCGGGCGTCGATATATGTATAGCGTCTCCGTCTTGTCGCTGTAAGCTGCAGCTATGACGCTATAGGCTGGCGGGCAAAGGCGAGAATGGATGGATCGCGACGCTAATGAGATGATTGTACGAAAAAGGTCAAGCCGAGGTCGTATGCAGGTAAGACGTTGAGAGGTTCGAGTCAGAGGAGGAGAGAGAGGGAATTGACTCGATTACTTTTCAGTATGATACAGCCTGTATCTAACCTAGGCAGAGAATAATAACAGCAGAACAGAACAGAACCGGGAGATGATGATCCAAGGGGTGATGCCATCTATAAGTAGTGACAAGGTCCACTGTAAACAAAGTCCCAGTCCCAGTGCCAATCTCTTCCAGAACGAAAACGAGATCCATTACTAACTATCGACCCAACGCAAGCACTAACAGTCCTCAATCCCTGGCAACGCAGAAAAATCTTCTGTTCTGTACCCTCTTTCACTCGGAAGAGGCCCACTTGTCTTCGGCATCCACGCTCGGCACCGGCGCCGGGACAAGGCCCGAGCTGCAACAAGGGGTTGTATATCCGATAAAAGTATACTATATCCGTTCTGATCCTCTAGCTGATGCACGTTGATTATTCAGAACACCCGTGTTATGACTCTTTTCTCTGCGGATCATCTCGGTAAGCAGAGTATTCGGCCGTGTCTCAAGCCAACGGGGCCGAGATCCCGTGGATGGATGGATACCAATCTATTATCGTAAATTCCAATCTTGCTTGTTCTTCATAATCAAGCTCCATTGTTGGGCTTCAAAGGTTCCAAAATGCCCCTGCCCCACTGGTTCCCCTATGTTACCTTGTAGATCCGATACTTTTGAATGGTTGTATTTTCAGATTCCTTGTAGCATTGACCAGTTCGTTTACTTAGATACCCCTGAGTTTATGAACTGTATTTCACCGAAAATTGTCAGATGCGAGAATTGCGATGGTAGAGTGTAAAGAGACGACGATCATGCACATGCTTTATTCAGCAGCTTTCAAATCCCGTTATCTTACCAAGACTGCATATGCACTTCGCTCCCTCGCGCATATCGTAAAATCAACAGCCAATAGAGGGAGCCGGCCGAGTCGTCTCCCGTAGTGGTTCCACCTCTGAGCTTCTGGAAAAGCTTGGACAATGCAAGGTGATGTAACATGTTCGGCGTAAGCGATTCCTTCTCGCTATTCGCTTTTTCATGGTCTTTTTTTTTCTTCACTTCCCTGTCATTCACAACAAGCCGTGGTTTACCGTAAATAAGCCGCATTGTTTTTGTTCATAATATTCCGCTTGCTACCCACCGAAGGCTCTCGATCATACGGCCAAGGCTTGAGATAAGGTTTTCGTGTAATACCGATGCTAAGAAAAAAATAGCAGAAAATTCTAGCGTCATAATGTTTATGTTCTATTCCTGGATATATCATCGAACGCCCCAACCGTCGTCCAGTAAAGCTGTCGCTTCTTCGAGACTCAACCCCGCCGTCTCAGGATAAATGCGCCAGACCAAAAAGTATCCAACACCACAGATACAAGCATATAACACAAATGTCCAAGATGGGCTCAGCAGATCCATCAATGGTAGGAATGTCAATCCAATGACAAAGTTGGCTGCCCAGCTTGTCGATGTTGCGACTCCACTGCCGAGCGATCGAACAGCCAGAGGGAACAGTTCGCTCTGCATCCACGGCACGTTACCCAGACCGAGCGCATACGCAGCGACATAAATCATAATGCTCACGAGGATAGTGAGGGCGGCCATCTCGTGTCCTGATGTGGCGGGCGGCTCATCAGGCGTGGTGTTGACTCCTGCTGCCAGCGAGAGGAACGAGAAGCCATATGCAGACAGCAGCAAGCCAGCGATCATGAATGGGATCGAATACAAGAGCACTCTCCTTCGGCCTATGCGATCAACAAGTCCAAGCGCAGCAACTGTGCCGAGGAAGTTTGTGACGGCGACTACCATAGAGGTAAGCGTTGGGCTTTGGAACCCAATGACGGTGAAGATGGTTGCGGAGAAGTACATAAGTGAATTCTATAGATCGTTAGTTTCTCGTAGTATTTCGTAGTTTGCATCATCACCTACAAAACCACAGAGCTGTTGCAAGCCTTGGAGCAGACAAGCAATAGCCAGAGCCCTTCGGTTTCTCCCCTCACTGATGAGAAGCTCCCATCCGCCAAGCCACTTCCAGCGGCCAGATGCTCGAAGATCGCGCAAGCGTTGCGCCTCGTACTCGTCCCGCACTTCTAGCTCGATCTCTTTAATAATAATATCCGCATTGTGCTGCAAGGTGTCGCCATTGACTCTTCGAATAACCTCCTTTGCTGTCCCTGACCTGCCGACTTTAACCAACCATCGGGGTGTTTCGGGCATGAAAGCAATCATGCTCCCCTGGACAATGGCAGGCAGAGCACCCAGACCGACCATCCACCGCCATCCTGTCTCCGCGTGACCGTAGGTCGAGAAGGCCCAACCGACGATGTATGCGATAACCTGACCCAACGTGATGAACATGATGTTCAGCGTTACCAACCGTCCACGATGCGCAGCGGGTGCTATCTCGGCTATGTAGAGCGGCACTACAAAACTCGCAGCGCCAACTCCTGCACCGATGATACACCGCCCAGCAACCATGATTGGGACCGTAGAAGACCATGACTGTAGAAGTGCGCCAGCAATAAAGAGGATGTCGGCGTAGAGGATGACGTGCTTACGTCCGAGTCGGTCAGCGAGAACGGATGAGAAGGGCGAGATTGTGAGCGCAAATAGTGACGTGGAGGATGTAATGATCGATTTGTCCATCGAGGTCAATTCGCGATTCGAGAGGGACGTGCCTATTGAGACGAGGGTTGCGGAAACGACACCAGTGTCGTCTAATTGTTGTCAGCATGATTTTGAGGCCAAAACACCATTTATTAGAGTCTTACATCCGAAAAGAAGACCGCTGATACCAGCAGCAAACGTCAAGACCAGGACAAACAAGCTGGGCATGCCACCCTCTGTCTTGCCGGCTTCGGCGTGAGACCCTTGAGCAACATCATATTCAAGCTCTTCTTCGTCGCTGTGGCCCGCAATCAGCGGCGCTTGAGAGCTATCCATTCTGTCGCGCTGAGAGGTGCCGTGTTAATTGTTTGAGCAGCGTTAACACGATTCCATGAGGCTGTGGTTAGTGGTCATGAGGAACTGAAGAAGTGAGAGTCGTGGACCTGGGGACCTTATGATGGCTGATCAGCATCCCTGGTCACATGGGGTTCTCGCCGAGTCCAGGTGTCAACCTTAGGTAGGCGGTACATCGAGCGCTGGGGCTCAAGAAATGGAAGCTCAGCGCGTTTAAAAGCCTAAAGCCTCAACTTGGGCCTCAGCTCTATAACAATGATGAAGAGAATGCTCAAATATACCTATATTATCTTCATGACTCAGTTGGTCACCAGTTGACATATAAATGGGAGTTGTCTGTTCTATTCTGGCAGCATCAAGAAAATTCATGTAACTAAAGTAACTCTCTAACATCCGCTAATATCAAGTACCGACGGCTCCGGCATCCATATTTCCAACCCTTCCATTTGATCAACATTCTAATCAAGTCGCCCTTGCTATCATCCACATTCAAACCGTTCCAATCTGCGCTCAGCTAATGAGATTCTTGTTCTTCAGAAAGTAATACCCGTGCACAGCCGCCAACCCCAAAGGCTGGAGCACCAATGGAAGTCGATGCTTCACGTGTCTGCTCATAGACTTGGCCATGACCGCCTTGGGAGCTCCAGGTGTATACATCCAATCTTGCAACAATCCCCAGGTGAGTTCCTGGATGGGAAGAATTCGAGCAAACATGTCCTTTTCAAAGCTCTTGATCGCTTTGTCAAGTGCTGCATCATCCTTGTTGGCCGCTCCGTTGATGACTTTGGCAAGTTGCATCGCATCGTCGAGAGCCTGGTTGACGCCTTCGCCAGCGTAGGGCGTCATGAGATGTGCCGCGTCGCCGATAAGAGTGATGCCTTGCTTATGCTCCCACTTTGAACCGATGGGAAGCATGTAGAGAGAGCGAGGAGAGCATCGTCCGTCAGCCAACTCGAGTGCTTGCTTCAGCCGAGGGTCCCAGTCCTTGTACTTGGTGCTGAGCAATGCTTGGGTTGTCTCCTTCAAGTTGTAAGGGTCGAAGCCGCAGTTCTCTGGCTTCGCCCAGTCTTCGTTGTCGGTTACATAGCCGCAGTAAATGTTGAGACTGCCATCACCCATCTGTTGGATCGTTGTTCGGTTGCCATCTGTGCTGGCAAAGACACTTCCACGGTTGACCAGCTTCGTTAACTCAGGAGCATTTTTCTCAGCGTCTGTGACCTCAAGCTCGTGCATAGCGATTCCCGCGAACTTGGGGACTAGGGTTGGGTCAATTTCCTTTCGAACTTTACTCCAGGCACCGTCGGCACCGACAATGAGATCGAAGCCATCGACTGTTGTATGGTTGAAGAAGAGTGTTCGGCCCTCGACCTTCTTAAGATGGTGGCCCCATTTGATCATGCCCTCGGGAAGTGACTGGGCCAGTATTTCACGGAGCTTCGAGCGGTCAATCTCAGGGCGCTCCTCAATTTTGTTGTATTTGCCATCTGCGTTTCGAACGAGGTGGTATTCAAGGTCCTTATCGACGATTGCCATATATTGTCCGTCATAACGGGCATGCTTCAGGAACTCGTCGAAGAGTTGGGCTTCTTTGAGGGCTGCAAGTCCAGTTGCTGTATGAAGATCGAGGGTGCCGCCTTGGGATCGGAAGTTTGGATGAGCTTCCCCTTCGAAGACTGTGACTTCTGTGCCTGCGAGATGTAGGAGTCTTGCTAGTAAACAACCTAGAGCATGTGAGTGGGTGTTATTGAGTAGTTGGATGAGGAGCGTTACCAGCTGGACCTGCACCAATGATTGCAATCTTGCGGTTTGCCATTCTGAGTGTGTATAGAGTTAATAGTATGTGAATGTATTGTTCGATTGTGTCTGTTTATTGAGTATCTTCATGTTGATGGGTGTCTTGGCATTTAAGTAGTCCAACTTGAAGAGCCGCTTCATTATAGAGGCTTGGTTTAGCATCAACACAATACCTACTAATTCAGGGCCTCAAACGGAGATTCAGCGTTTAGATTACACTCCGACGGTCAAACCGGGCCCTAAGTTCAGCCTCTGAGACGCCTCCTCAACTGGGTTTGCTATCCAACCTACGAACTGCACTGCGACTAAGATGACAGCCAGCCTATCACGCAGTTTCTAGCCGAAACAACGTTGCAATTTATTTAGTGGTAAACTCCCGTAAACGCCGTTTTGGGCAGCAGTTACGAGTTACGACGAAGACAGGGCTCAGTGCCACGCTGTGATGGGCTGGGGCTATGCTCTTAGCGTCAGCTCGAATGGCATTCCCATTTAGTTATGAGAGGAGTTCATTCATCAGCCCCGGAACAGAATGCCGCGACGGGACGGTCCACAGCGCTCAGACACCCTGAGGGACGTTTAGAAGAGGGACTTCCTTATCGCTCATGGATTGCGCACTTTCACAGGGTTAGTTAGTGCTGACATCCCATGGTTTTGGAGGTTGAATTATCGGAGATGGTGATTCAAGTAAAAGTCCGACCCCGGTTTGCAAGTCAATGGTCAACCACATCAAGTAAATGCCGTTGGGCCTTAATAGTCTCGGTCTTAATCGAAACTCGGGTACGAATATTAGTTTTGTATCCGAAAGCTGCGTTGCTTCGATAATCGGCTCTCAACCACTAGAACGAGTTATTAATGGACGCGTGGACTGGCTAGCGACTGCTATACAGTCACTTGGGGACATGAGAAGATATCATATTGTTTCTTAGAAACATCATGAAATATGTGTATGTTATGATTATCCAGTCCTCATAATTCTCAACACAACAGCATCTCTGACACTCTCTTCCTCGCTATAAAAGCCCACGAAAATCTACAATTTCCATGCATGTATCCATGTCCCAGATCAAGACCAGGCGTCCCGCGATGTCAACGAACCATCTCAAGCAGCGCCCTCTCACATCCAAACGAGTCTGTGTCAATTTCTCTCCTGTCTTGGAATAGATCATCAAGGTTGCCTGTTTCGACTTCTCACGCCAAGAGATGCAGAAGATGAATCTGTCAAAAAGTATGCCAGCTTCAAGGCAGTAGACCCCCTGTACCCGCTTCACCTTGAAGCGCTGCACTACATCTCCCTCCTTCGTGTACAGTATAAGCCACTTGTCCCATACAATCCTGCTGCCATCTGAGAACTTTCTCCAGTAAGTCGAGTTAAATTCCATCTCTGCAACTTTCCTGGAAATAGGTCTGCCATCAACAGCCCAGTATTCAGAAATCTCCGCTGAATCGTCACAAATGTACACAATGCCATTTGTCGTATGGAAGTCATGATTTTGATCCATATCTTCTTCGGAGACGGTACATTCATATGTCAACTCCATCCGTTCCAAGTTCCAAGTTTGGATAGTTCGTGGGACGTTGTCCAACGAGGGGTTGCTAAGTATCGTCAAATAGTGACTGCCGTCATCAGAATGGAACGGACCGTCTGCAGAGCCTTCTACAGGGATAATGATTTCTCCACGTTTCGTTCCTTGAACGTCCCAAATATCCATCCAAATCTCGGTCACATCCATTGTCTCATCAAATATGACGTAAGTAATTAAGATGACATTATGATAGAGCCGGTACTCTCTCAACCACATTATATTCTCATCGTTGCTTAGACGAGTGTTTATCAACTTGTTTGTTAGAGACCAGTCATCCAGACTGTATAGAACAACGGGACGTGGCTTTATGTCGTCACGACTGTGATCTACTCCTAGGAGAACAGTGCCGTTGAACACTACGTTTTTGGGGAAATTCTCCACGTCTGTGAACAAGAGACGCAAATCTTCAAAATCTATCGCAAAGATGTTGCACTTGTCTGCCGCTTTGTCTGACGGAGAAGATTGAATGATGAGTGGCGCTGCCATATCGCCATCATAGTGGTATTTGTATTCGTGATTCTCTCCAAGCTCATCTGCCAACCTCATGAGGTTTGATCCGGGGCTGACTCCGTGACTGATGGCATCAGCGGCTTGAGATATGCTCATATAACAGGACTCTAGGGAATGACGGGTTTGTCGAATGGTACGAAGTGGGTATCCAAGACGCATGAGGTGTTCTTCCCAAACGTGGTTTGGTACACGGCTTTCCCAAAGCCCTTTTGTAATCGACAATGCTCTGAAGAAATCTTTGAGTTCTAGCTCAAAGACGATTTGCTGAGCGAGCTCCAAAGTATGGAAGACTCGGTCCGCCGAGTTGGCCATGTTGCTCGTTTAGTTGGCTCCAGATATATGCAGGTGTTCCGGTAGAAGGGGCTGTGAGAAGCACAACTGGTCTTTCTGCTGACTAGATATGATTAAGCAAGAGTGATGCTTGTGAAGTTGTGGCGTTGATGTTGTAACGACTTAATATCAAGAGGACGCGTTGGAAGATTTATAGAGGCTAGGCAGCCACCCGAATGGCTCAATGTCCTAATTGAATTTGCCTTTGTTTGTCCCTTGGTCTATTGAATGCTCCATCGGCACCTATACTTGAGGCGACTCTGGTGGTCTATGTTAACCAGTACTGATTTCATAAGTTCTTTCTTTCACATGGTGATATTCGTCGTTGATTTATCTCTGAAGTTAATATGTGAATTGCAAACGAAATAAGGACAAACACATCGAGGTAGGCCGATTCTCACTTCAAATACAATGGACAGAAAATATTCATATAAAATAGCAGGATTAAGACGTCTCATATCGGTTATAGTCTTGAAGGATGACAAGACTGCCCAGACAGGTTTGGCGTGGTGGACACGGAGCCCCTGTTTGATGATTTTGTCAGCCAAAGCGCGATCTAATTTGAATCTCACTCATTTTCCTTCTTCACAATTATCTCTATAGCCTTGTCAAGCCTTTTCTTTAAATCACTGTCTTTAAAGTTGACGATGGAGTTAATACCATTCCTTATACGAGTGATCGCCTTCACTCTTTTGGCGACCCTTCCAACTGTTAATGCTTCACCTGCAATCAGCCTCCCTTACCCCTTTGAAGCAGACAAACTCTACGACGTCAGAATCGAGCAAAGAATCGGGCCAGACTCAGAAGTCCGCAAACGGGCAAACGCTTACCGTGTCTATCTCGCGTTGACACCGCCAGGATGGGGCACAGGGCCTGTGTGTTGGCTCGCAAAAGAAGTAGACATAGACGTGACACAAGTCAACATCACCATTCCCGCAGATGCAGCACCCAACCAATCACGAATCCGACTATCAACTGCTTTTCTGAAGAAAGGCTCCCCAAGAAGTATGGGCTTTTCTTATAGCAGTAGGACTACCCTTGTTGGAGCGAATGCAACTTGGAGTCAGAAGGAGTTGGACGGGAGGAGCCATATTGATGCAGAGGAAGTTTCTTGTTGGGCTTTTGGATGTGCTAGGACTTGTCAAGAGACCTATTACACTACAAAGGATGAGGAGGATGGGCCGATTGGAACTAAGGCATATGCTTGTATCAAACAGTGTGCAAAGGATCTGAATCCGCGAAGCAACGGGGCGATAACAGGAATGTCGATATCGAGGATATTGGCTATGGCCGTAATGATTGGGTCTGTTCATATGGTTGCGGGCGCTTTTTAAGATAGGAAAGCATTTGGAAACTCAGCATGTTTACTGTTTATTAATATCAAAAATAATACTCTCAAGTTTTCGAGAGTTACGTTGAAACAGACTAACTTTAGCCTTATTTTTAGACTTATCCTTAAAATCTTGCAGTATTTCGTGAGCATGCCAGCCTATGAAGGCTGGATCCATCTCGTGAAGGCTTTGAATTTTGTCCCCTGCGCGAGGTTAGTGGTAAATCACGATCAATAAACACAAGCTTGCTATAAGATGATAATTTTCTCTTGTAACTATGGACGTAAGCAGTCTCCGTCCCTCTCTTCTTCAGAGGTGTCCCCTATTCCTTATGCAAGCTGCGTAGAGCATCAACCAATTCTACCTTTCCCCTCACGGTATTCTCATCATACACAAAGTTCTTTGCAATAATGCCATCCGCTAAGCCGCAGGTCGTCATCTCCTTGAACTCTTCAGCATAGTATTCAGGAACAATTTGCTTCCAGTAATCGAGCAGCTGGTCCTTCTCAACAAGCTTCAGCTCATATTTCTTGCCAGTGATTTCTTCGACTGCCTCCTTCAGATCAAGAGAACCGTAAGCCCTCGGGCCAAAAACGTTGAAATAGTGAGGGCTCGGCTTGGCTGTCTTGGTCAAGAGGGCGTCGGCGCAACTTTCGGCTACATCCTTGAGACCGACCTTGGAGTCTAAGTTAGTATGATTTTCTTCGTGTTCCTGGCAAGTCTTGAAGGTTTTGCATACCAAGGGGATCTTGTAGTCGATGGGCGCAATCCATGAGTAGATGGTTGGGGTTTCCTCCTTTGCAGCATCGAGGAGATGAGCCCAGTCCTCGTGGAAGTAGGTAGGCCTGACAATCGAGACTTCTGGAACAGAGTCCTTGAGAAGTTCGTCAGAAATGTAGTTTACTCGGAGAACTCCCTAAGAAGATGTTGTTAGTTTTCTGCTGAAATTTCCAAAATGAATAAAAGACATACAATGCCACTTGAGTTATGAGCTCCGATAGCAGAAAGAATCAAAAGTCTCTGTATGTTTGCCTTCTGAAGGGCTTTCTTCACATTCGTACCAGCTCGAGTTGCCCAATCACCGGTGTCGGTCCCATCGTAGGTAGGAGGTGGGATATAAAAGACTGTGTTTGAGCCTGTAAAATTAAGGCTGTCACCGTCTCCAATGTCGCCCTTGACGGCTTCGAAATTCGAGTGCTTGAGAAACTCAGGAGGAGCTTTAGAAGTATCTCGATAGACTGCACGAATAGTCGGTTTGCTCTCAGACTCTAGAAGTACACGGATGGTCTCTCGACCAGCCTTGGTCGACGCAGGGATGACAGTGATATGACGAGACATGCTGGCGGAGAGTTGGTGGAGTTGTAACCGGAGTCTGTGAATCTAAAACTTAACTTATGATGATACTTCCAACTCTTCAACAGACATCAAGGGCCTTATATACAAATTCTATTGCCTTTAAGCCAAGTATGAGATCCATAGCAGATTACAAATATTGAAGCGGACTTGCGGCGCAACATAGTCTGAAGGAACACCATGATGATCCGCGTCTTGGCGATGAATTAGATAATTTGAAGCTTGAAAGTCCGCTCAGCAATACAAGCGGACCTTGAGAGTCCGAAAGACCGAAAGACCGGCTTCTGAAGACTTGGCTTTGTGGATTTCGGATAAGCATAATCTGACCATGTTGACGATCATTTTCCGCAGGCTTACAAATATTCGCATCCCGCGGGTGCCTTCATTCTGAATATGTCAAAGCTTGGCGTAAGTTGATTTTGTGAGATATTGTAAGTGGCCTGATATCAGAATTGAACGAGAAGAAACGAAGAAGAGGGACATATTTTCTGAATATTTTTGTTGGCTGCTATGATCCTAATGAGATATCTCTCGTCGATCCTCAAATGCTTCGGATAACCAATTCGTCAATCCATCAACCACCAATCATGAAGCATATCAATTCGCCATCAAGCATCACTGGCGATCAACCCCGCATCAGTTCAGATATAATTAATAAGATCACTCTGCCTCTACTACTCATCTCATGATCGAATGTTCGACTCATCATTATTTCTAATCAGTGAAAATGTCGCCATCTGCCACCACAGCTAGCCCAACAGGCCAATCCATCCTAAACACAGCAAAAGCCCAAGATGGCAAAGTGAAACGCATTCACAAGATTCCAGAATTTTCCACCAAAGAAGCTACGAGACAATGGCAACTGGGACAAATGGCTGCAGCATTTCGCGTGTTTGCCAAACTTGGGTATGCTGATGGAAGCAGTGGCCATATCAGTTTGAGAGGTTTGCCGCAATACTTTGGCATTTCACCATCAGACTAACAAGGGTAGATCCTGTTGATCCAGAAACCTTCTGGATCAATCCATATGGGGTTCACTTCGGATTATTGACCGTCTCTGATATGGTCCACATTGATGAGAATGGCAATCGTATCGGAGGTGCAGAGAAGCCTGTTAACACAGCTGGTTTCATCATTCACGCAGCCATTCACAAACGCCGTCCAGACATCAATGCTGCTTGTCATCTTCACAGTCCATACGGCAGGGCCTGGTCAACCTTCGGCAAGCCCATCGAGATGATCAATCAAGACAGCTGCATGTTCTACAACGATCTCGCAGTCTATGCCAATTTTGGGGGGGTCGTTTTCGCCAAGGAAGAAGGCAATAGACTTGCTGATGCTCTCGGAGCCACCAAGAAGAACATCATTTTGCAGAACCACGGCCTACTGACTTCGGGGGGCACCATTGGCGAAGCCGCAGCGTTCTTCATCGCTTTGGAGCGAGCATGTCAAGCACAATTGCTTGTAGAAGCTGCTGTGGCTCCTGATGGGTCTCAGCTCAAGAAGTCTATCGTGAGTGATGAGGAGGCTCAGTATACAAAAGACAATACAGGGAGTCCTGAGGCGATGTATATGCAGTTTGAGCCCGAGTATCAGATGCTTCTCAAGGAATCGAAGGGCGATTTTTTGCAATAAGCAGGCCCATTGTTGCAGAATGAAAGTAAAATTGCTGTCAATTGAACAAGGCTTTAAACCGTAACGATATGCTTATGCTGGGTATTGGCGCGAGTAATGAAAAGACTTGGGAATTTACTCTAAATTTAGGGAAGTCTTTACTAACTTTACTCTAATATTATCTTCTACTTACTTTCCATAAAGGGGGTCAGAATGTTCTCCTTAATGAGGCACTGGTTGGTGTTATATCCAATGTATGAAGCCCTGATAAAATTGGTCGATATCTGCTTTCAACAGTAGGGTGAGCACCGTGCTCTTCTAAATAGATATATCGAAACTTGTCTAACTTTTGATGAGAGTATGTTCAAGTGAGTAGCAACGGTTGAGATGAGTGTGTGGTGTTGGTGGTGAAGCTAAACTCTATGACTGACGCAAGCATAGACTCGTACTTCCCGCCACCTTCATTCGTCTTCAACTTGCAACATCCACGATCACATAACATCACGATCTATCTTCCAGGGTTAAATCCACACCGTCTTAGATATGGCAACAGGAGTTAGCCACGATCTCACTACTCAATCTTCTCCAGAAAAGCTCTTACGTATTGGCACAGGCTGCTGTGGAAGTGTCTGGGCTGACGCAGGCTCGACAAAAGACACCGGCACTCCCTCCTGCATCAAAAGAGAAGATGGAGATCCGCACAGATCCATTGCAAACGAACACTTCATACATCAGCTTGTTGTTCAATCTCTTCAGCTAAATCCACAACATGCAAGAAACTTCCGAATACCTCTCTGCCGTGGATTCCTCAACGAGGATGATGAGGGCTGGTCTTTGGTCCTCCCTCGACTTCCACCAGGCTCGAAGCCTTGTAACGCATTACTCAGCGAAAAGGTTCAGCCACTATCTGAAGACGTTAGAAAGCTGTTGGTCTCTAAGTTTGCAAGAGGAGGAAGTGATCAGGATGCTATAATAAACGACAAAAAGAACGAGCACTGCCTCATCCGCCCATATCTTGGTCGCAGGAAGAAGGACTGGGAAAATACGAATCGCAGCACTTTCTTCAGTCTAAGGAACTTCCCACTTAATCTAGACCGAATGATAGAGCTGGGTCTCGATGTGCAAAGTTATGTCAAGGTCATGGCTGAAGGCCTTGCATTTCTTCATTGGGTTGCACGTATCGATGCCAACGACGTTGAATTCGTGCTTGCTCGTTCACGCTCGACTTCAAACTTACATCCATATAGTCCATTCGATACAGCGATCTTTGGGCCTCACTCAATGTGGATTATAGACTTTGATTGCTGCAATCCTGTCACAATGGATGAAAATGGTGCTGCAGCCGCTGCTGAGTGTTTTTGGCGAAATGATCCGTATTATCCTCGACCTGGGTCTACGGACACTTCTGATCAGGAGCTTTGGTGTGCTTTCAAGGATCATTACCTAGAGGTGAGTGGGGAGATGTTGAAGATAGAGGAGCAATCTGTGAAGGGTCTTCCTGAGTTATTGATCAGTATTATCGAGGAGGGGCCAAAGTTCACGAAGGGAAAATAGCTAGCAACAGCAATCTAAGAATCAAAAAGTCCTTATTACAGCAACATAGGCACCCCAAGATGTACCTTATAATGATCTCTTAAAACTATAGGTGAGGATGGAGTTTTAGGGTAGCCTTGGTAATCCTTGTGATCTCTATCTTGAGTCTTAAGTTGACTCAACCAAGGCTGGAAACAGTTCGAAGCTTCGATTCCAATATTTTGCTGACAAACTAGTCAATCTAAGTCTTGGTCGTATATACGGACTTACAGAGCGGTCAGTGTTGCTGTAGACACGGAATTCCGATGCTGACTGTAGGATTGTTCTTTCCAGTCGGTGGAACACCAGGATTGTCAGAGTCGAAGCAAGCGCTGAAACGCGAAATTCATTCGTATTGTCAATTGCTTATGGTCGTTTCGTTCTTAAATACCAAGAGCCTCGCCTTCGAGTTCTTCACTGGTATTACTCTTTACGCACGATAGAAACGACTGCAACTCCCAATGTTCGCTACATATCTCGAAAAGCTCGCCAATGCTGGCGGACCCGAGGTCACCTACGAGGCAGGCTGTCACTGTGGTTATATCGGCCTCTCAGTAGCACTCTCTCCTCCTCTGCCCAAGCATGAGGTCATAAACTGCAATTGTTCCATTTGCCGTCGAGGAGGTTACCTTCTTGTTTGTATGAATTGCTCAAGGTTTCGGTTCGGACAATGCTGACCCGGATCACTCACTCACTAGACCCCGCGTATGAGAAAGTGACCTGGCACAACGACTCAGATAAGCGTGTCTCACGATATCAATTCAACACCAAGGCTCGCGATCACATGTTCTGCCCCAAATGCGGTGCCAGCATCGGCATCGACTTTGCGAGGGTATGGCCTGAGGCTCCTCGCTATGGCATCAGTGTGAGTGGCATGAACAACTATCGTAGAGCGGTCTTTATTGACAGTTTGCAGGTGCGACAATTCAACAACATCGATCTTGACTCTCTTCAATACATCAAGCTCGATGGCTTACATACCGCTGAGCCAGGAGTTGACTTGTCGGGTAAAGAAATTGATCCAAAGGCCAATGAAGCCCCTGGTTATAGTTCTTAATTAGATAAGCTGTCAGTTGGAGTTGGCGTTGGTGGTGGGAAACGGTTTCAGAGGAAGAAAGAGAGCGTGCACCAATTGAAGGATCGAGATCGGCTGAAGTCTTGTTTGGGACCCAAGCTCGGCCAAGCCATTTACGCAAGCTTTTGGTGGTGGGGGTTAGGATGATCATGCCATGGATGTTGACGCTTGAGAATTCCCTGTCTGGCTGAACTCTTGTATCTTGATCAGCGATTAGCAGTCTTGGCATGCATGAAACAGGATGATCTGATGAGTTACTGCGATATTGTGCCTATAATTATCTTTCAATTGTCACTGAATAGGAGACAAACCATCGTCTCCTATGAGATGCTGCTGATAAGACCATCAACGTCATTCGCGGTTAGTGGCGCTCCGGAATTAAACACCCAGCCACGAGTGCGGGGAGCTCTCACCTGTAACTTGCCTTGACGCGGCTCTTTTGCCCGCTAAAACTGATCGTCCCGGGGCCAAAGCTCCCTGTATTGGAGCTACGTACCTGCGGATAATCGACGTCATCGACCTCAATCATGCCTTGCACTTGATTGCTTTCCTTGGTTGATTGCGTTTCAAGCAACCATCCCAAAGCGATGAATCAATCGCAATGGGCCAAGTAGTGTTATTTGTGTGACGCTAATTTCAATTCTGGTGTCATATCAATATTTCACTTCTCTCCCTTTTCTCCTCTTCTCCTCCTCTTTTCTCTCTTCACCATTAAACCCAAGTTGGGGAGTTCAACCACCAGGTCAATTCTCTTTCTGCCTTGAGGTTCGCCATCATGTCGCAGTTTGAGCAGCAGAAGATCCCTGCGGCCGGGCAGCATTACAGCGCCCAGAACCGTGTGCCTAATGTTCGCGAGTTCATGGACCAGTTGGACCAGAACAAGAAGGCCCGTGATGCTGAGATTGACGAGCAACTAAAGCAGAACAAGATCCACGGAGAGACAAAGGACCACAAAAACGACAGAGCCGAAGCTCTTCGCAAGCAAAAGGACATTCGCATGGTGCGTGATCCTGTGACAGGAAAGGACGTTGGCATTCGAGATGCCGACATTGATTACAAGGAAGCTGTTGAGAACCCTCAGGTAGGCACCAATATGTCACTAAAGAGAATCAAGGACTGACAGTTTCAGCTATCGATTCCCAACGAGAACTTAGGAAAGCCTGCCACCATCGCGACCTCGTCGAAACAGTCTGGTGAAGAGTATCGTTACGCCCAAGATGTCACAGCGCCCCCTGACCCCGTCCAGGAGGGTGCAACATCAGATGTCCCCATTAGAAGTGAGAAGACATCGGTGGTGTTCTACAAGACTCCTTCAGTCAGCTACGAACCAATGTTCGAGATTCTCGAGCAGCGCAGCAACGTTTTGTGTATCGGAATCTTTGCCGCCATCGTCTTTATTGGAAAGATGTTTGGCGGTCGTCTTCTCGGTCTTCTTCCTCTGGGTTTCTGCGTAGCTTCTGGTGTTTTCCTCTGGACAAAAGACTTGATCCGTCAAGGCAGAGATCTCGAGTGGTCGAGTGAGCAAGAACGTGGCGAGACTGCCACCGCAAACTTGATTCCTGAGTCGGTTGAATGGATGAACACCATGCTTGGAATTATGTGGGGATTGATCAACCCTGAGATGTTCGCCGGCGTTGCCGATACGTAAGTAGACATTTTCGGTGGCATGACCTGTTCCTAACTGTAGCAGTCTCGAAGATGTTATGGCGGCCTCGGTTCCGGGTGTCATTGAGAACGTTCGCGTTGCAGATATCTCCCAGGGTAACAATCCCATTCGCATCCTCAGCATGCGTGCTCTTCCCGACTCTCATGTTCAAGACATCAAGGACGAGCAGCACCGACAGAACGAGAAGACCACCGACCCCGAAGAGCTCGCAGCCAATGAGCAAGCTGGCTCGTTCTACAACCTCGAGGTTGCGATCGCCTATCATGCGAAGCCCTCTGGCGCGGATATCGCATCCAAAGCGCGCAACATGGGCATGCAGCTTGTCTTCTACCTGGGTATCAAGGGTCTCTTCGGTGTTCCTTTGCCCATTTGGGTCGAACTTCAAGGTCTTGTTGCGACTGCTCGAATCCGACTTCAACTGACTCCTGACCCTCCTTTCCTTAAAACTCTCACTTTCACCCTTATGGGCATCCCTAAGGTTCAGGCTGGATGTACACCAATGATTGAGAAGGGCGTCAACATTCTCAACCTTCCCCTCATCTCCAACTTTGTCAACTGGGCCATTGGGGCTGCCGCGTCGATGTATGTGGCTCCCAAGAGTCTGTCTCTTGATCTTAGCAAGATGCTCCAGGGTGATGACATCAAGAAGGAGACATTGGCCCTTGGTGTCATGTTTGTTCGAATCCACAAGGCCACCGGCCTCAGCAAGCAAGATCAGCGTGGAAGCAAGGGCGGTGGTTCCGACCCTTATATCACCATCAGCTGGAGCAAGTTCTCCAAGCCCCAATTTTGTACTCGTGTTATCCAGGATGATCTGAACCCTGTTTTTGAGGAGAGCGCTGGCCTTTTGGTTACTGCTGATCTTCTCAAGGCTGACGAGCAGCTTTCGGTTGAGCTTTGGGACAGTGATCGATCTTCTGCCGATGATGTCGTTGGCAAGGTCGAGCTCAGCATTCAGAAACTTATTCAGCACCCCGGCAAGATGTTCCCCCAGGTATCTAAGCTTCGAGGTGTCAAGGCAGAGAGCGAAATGCCCGGCGAGCTCCACTGGGAAGTCGGCTTCTTTGGCAAAACACAATTCCGAAAGGCCCTTCGAACCGATGGCCGGGACCTCAATCTCCCCAAGGCGCTCGCGGACAAGCCTGAGCTTCAAGAGAACAAGGGCGCAATCGACACCAAGGAGGAAGATGCCGTTATCCACACCCCTCCCGACCCATTGTGGCCTTCTGGTATCCTCAGCATCGTCGTTCACCAGATCGTTGGCCTAGAATTGGAAAACATCAAGGGTTCCAATGGAAAGAGAAAGGGTAGAGAGTATGAGCCAGCTCGTCCTGAAGCCGGCGAAGTCAAGGAAGAACAGGCCAAGTCTCTCCCCAGCTCTTACTGCACCATCCTTCTCAACGACGATCTTGTTTACAAAACCCGAACAAAGGTTGTTTCCTCTCAACCCATCTTCAATGCTGGAACCGAAAAGTTCATTCGTGATTGGCGTTCTGCTATTGTTACCGTTGCAGTCCGTGACTCCCGCAACCGCCAACATGACCCTCTCATTGGTGTTGTCCCTCTCAAGCTCACTGATATCCTTCAAACCAGCAGCGAGTCTACCAGGTGGTACCCTCTCGACGGAGGCATCGGCTTTGGACGCATTCGTATCTCTTTGTTGTTCCGTTCCGTTGAGCTTCGACTCCCTCCTCCTCAACTGGGTTGGGACATTGGTACCTTCGAGTTCGTGTCTGACTCTATCACCACTACTGGCTACGCTCCTTCGAACCACGCCAAGATTCGCTTCCGTACTGGAGGCTCGTCTGCCAGTGTTGGTAAGAGCTCATCCACTCGTGAGGCCGATGGCATGTCATTTAACATCAGTGGTGCCGATGGAAACCAACGTGTTCGCCTACCAGTTCGACACCGCTACAGCTCACCCATCTTCATGGAATTCTACCCAAGTGGAAAGCGAAGCCCCGATGCTTATGCCGTTCTCTGGCTCCTCGAGCTTGTTGATGGTGAAGAGACTGACTTTGACATCCCTGTTTGGAAGTGCAACCACAGCGTGCGACTTTCTCAGAACTACATTACCGAAGAAAATTACAAGTCTGTTCCCGATATCGAGATGGAGCAGGTCGGTCGAGTTCGATTCCGAGCTCGATTTTCTGCTGGAACGGATTCCGATCATATCAAGTTTGCCAGCACAAACGACGACCGTGAGACAATCGAGGCTTGGGAAGCATGCTACGCAGAGGGTGTGCGTCAGCAGGATGTTGAGACCGAGGTTCCTCCTGTGATCCAGAAACTGCACGAAGAGTCTCTGACCCATGGCCGCGACGTTCTCGCCCAAGCCGACGAGAAGCAGAAGCAGAAGTGGCTTGCCAAGGACGGCACCGATTGGAGCGGTGCCTTTGGTCAAGATCCTTCTACGTTGATGCGCAAGAAGAGCAACAGCGAGTCCAGCGAGGAATACGACGACTTTGATGAGGACGACTCCGATCCTGATCTTGGCATTCAAGATGCCGACACTGAACCTACAGATCCCTCTGAGAACGGGCGCCCTTCCGTTGACACAACAGGCACCAACGCGACGAGCGCTACGAACAGTTCCCAGGCTAGCTCCAACAGCAAGAACCCCATCAAGAAGATCAAGTCATACCGATCCGATAGTCGCGATATGCATCGCAAACATCGAGGTCTTATGCAATGGCGACCCATGCGCAACGTGCAGTTTGCCAAGGATGAAGCCAAGTTTGCAGTTCGAAAGGTGGCCAAGCTTGGAGCCCTGGATGGCCGAAAGCCTGATGTCGAGACTGAGGTTTAATACATGAAAATTTCCTTTATGTTCAAGAGGCGACGATGGTTGGAAAGGCGATTGGTAAACGGATGTGATTGATGATGGCACGATTGGAGTTTGTCTGGTTATGATTGTTTTGTATAAATACGAATAGCAGTTATTAAAATGAAACGAACCCCTTATAATAACCAACATCCATTCCGTGGGATGTACAACAGGAAACGCGTAAACCAACGATGATCCGCCCCCAGCCCTCAGCATGAGAATCTAATAAAACAAAATGAGAAACAAAATATATTTATTTAATTAAATATATTTATTTAATTGAACAAGGGTTGACTCTTTTGGTATATTTCTCGTTCATGATGGGTAAATGATATCTCTTCGTAGTGCTAGAGCACGTGAGTGAATCAAATCAGCCTCCCACTGGTGATCTCTGGGCAGATCTTAGCCTCCTGCCTGGAGCACCTCTTGACAGCAATGACGCTTTTTATCTAATTCCAAAAGTGGCATATTTACACATTAAGCGCTTTC